AAAAGTGATATGTACCAACGGTAATATCAAAAATATGACATGAGCTGGGATGCAGGAAAAGTACTACAGTTACGTGATTAAGCACATTAAGAGACAACGAATATTTCACATTTGACAAAAAAAAAAAAAAAAAAAATTGAGCCAGTTCTATCAAATAGTAACTCAGTGTTTTGAGGTTTTGCGTGTATTATTTGGATGTAGGTTTGAGATAGCACTCAACAAAGTATTTGCTCCAATCAGACACTGAATAATCTCAAGAAAAAACACCCAGTAGCATACCTTTAATGTGAAACTGCATTTTTAATAAAACAACCATTAACTCCTCTTTAAGGTAAACCTGTGAAGGGCCATTTCTGTGTTTAATAGACCCAGTAATAACCTTGGTGCTCTGTAATGTGCATAAAACAGCTCAAGAGCTACTCATACCCATTTATCTAAGGCTAAAATGCAATGAATATGAATCAATGAAAATGTCTAGTTGCGCTTTTATGTTATCCTCAGTGTCTGTGTCAAAGGCTGCGATTCCAGTGTCAAGTACTGCGCGGTGTGCTTCGGTCTGTGTGCGCGTGTGTGTGTGAGCAAGAGACAGCGCGCGTGTGTGAATGTGAGTGTGAGTGCGCATGTATTTGAGAGTGAGCATGTATGTGTGTGTGCGTGTGTGCTCGCAAGCAGGAGAGAGTGCATGTATGTGAATGTGAGTGTGTCTGTACATGTATTTGTGTGTGTGTGTGTGTGTGTGTGTGTGTGTGTGTGTGTGTGTGTGTGCATGTATTTGAGAAATAAAGAGTGAGTGAATGCGTGTGTGTGCGTGAGCGCGCAAGTGTGTATGTATTTGAGGGAGAAAAAGTGAGTGAATGCGTGTGTGTGTGTGTGTGTGTGTGTGTGTGTGTGTGTGTGTGTGTGCGGGCGCACATGCCTGTACCTTTGTTTCTGGTGCACAGGCTGCTGTCTCTGTGCCATGTACTGCACATCCTCCTGTAGGCGGTTCAGAGGTGAGTCCGGCTTCACACGGATCCCGTAGTAGTGGTACTTAGAGTTTCCTCTAAGAAAGGAAGGGAGGGAGGGAGGGAGAGAGAAGAAATGACCCCTTGAAAATCTGAGTGAAGAAAAGCTACAGTCTGTCTTCCCAAATGCCTTCGACCGTAACGTCGGAGAAATCACTCTCCTCCCTCTCATGTACACAATACATCCTCATTCCGCAATTTTATTGAAGAGTGTCCGAAGAGAAGTACAACTTCATCTCCAAAACATTTGGGACGGTATACTAAACGCATACAGTATAAAACAATGCAGTGATTTGTAAATTATCCCGACCAGTATTATACTGAGCACAGTGCAAAGGCAAGTTATTTGACATTTACCAACAAAACTTTTTTATTATTTAGGAATTATTCAAACAATGCAAATTTGACGCCTGCAATATGTGTTTGCCATTGTGTTACATCACCTGTCCTATTAACGACACATAGTAATTTAGGAACCGAGGACAAAAATTATTTTGGTTTTGATGGTTACATTTTTCAGTCTTGCTTGATATTAGCTTCCAGCTGCTACAACAGCCAGGGTGTTTTCTGCCCCATTCTGTGCTTCATAATGACTGGTCTGGACTGCAGGTAGGCCAGTCAAGCACCTCCACTCTCCAATTATGAAATCATAGCGTTGTTCAAATAAGCATAAACATCCCTGACAAAGATGCTGCCTAGAAGACGAATGTTGCTGCCAAGAGCGTATTTATCCTTCCGCACTAATGGTGCATTAACAAATGTGCATGCAATCATGTTATCGAAGCCATGAATGGGAACACATTCCCATACCTCGCACAGTACACAAGTGTAAACTTGCATTTGTGGCATTTATTATCAAAGTGTTAATTAAATTATTACAGAACCCTTCTGATCATATCCATCACAATAATATTATGCATTTTAGAGGGTGAAATCCACAAATGTCTAGCAATTAATGCACTGAGAACCCTTTTTTTACTGAAACGGCTGGATAATTTGATCATAGTTTTACGCAAAGTGACGAGCCTTGATCAATCCTGCCATGCAAGGAGATGAGCCTTTCGCAGGTGCTCCTTTCCTCTCATACTCAAGCATACTTTGCCTGTTTTTTTCCTTTTTTTTTGAAGCTTTCCATTCCATTCTTATATTCCCACTGTCCCAATGTTGTGAAAGGATTATTAGGAATTAGCATATATTAACATAATTAAATAAATAAATACATACATACATTTAAAGTGTACATGACACAACATTTTTTGTTCCATGAATTGATATCTCACTTCAAAACTTTTATTGAGCCCGTTTTTTGCATTAAAATATACCGCTATTTTGACTTGAAATTTGTCACAAGGATGCTTGTCATGTGATTTACCCTTGTGGTAAGTTGACTGGACTCACAAAGAGACTGAGCAGAAAGCAACAGGACAGCAGTGAAGAAAGGAGGCAGAAATTGTGTGTGGCTGGAGAGCCGAACAACCAGAGTTTTACAAATACGTTTCACACACTGAGCATATCGATGCATGCGTTTCCCTCAGATCCCACTTTAAGGGCAAAACAGGTCAAATTTGAGCAGTGGCACTACGTTAATTTCGGCAAGCAAATGTAGGTGAAATGACTCAAAGCAGAACCACAATGAGACTGCAATCAATTACACTGACGTCATGAGTAGGCATTTCCAGACCCAGTCTATGGGAGAATTTCAGAGGGAAAATTAGTGTATTACGGGCACCAGAAAGCAACGGTAAAAATATTTTTTTCATCATTTCCGAAAAAGGTTTTGCTTATTGCATAAATCAACCAACCTAAAAAAAAAAAATTTTGTGTCATATACACTCTAACTAAATAAAATTTATACAGTGAATTGTACTGTTTTCACATTAATACGAGTCAAAAATGATTTGTACAAGGTTGCACTTTTTTATTTGCATTTACTGAAATGACCCCCTCTTTTGGGGGCAAAGTTACGTGTGAGACGAGAGAATGGGGGGGGGGATGTTTGGTGAATCTCACCGGGTCCCGAGTCGGCGGGTGCGCAGCCCCATGAAGATGGAGCGGATGAGTTTCCCGAAGGACGCGGCGTTGACGGGGTCGAGTCGCTGCTCCTGGCAGTGACGCAGGTAATGGTAGTACAGCATCGAGCGCGGGAGGCTCACGCCCTCCGCCGTCTCGTAGTTATCCAGCAACCACTGCAGCTGCGGGGGGTGCTCACATCAGTCACCCACAATGCATTTCTCCCACACTAACAAGAAGTCATGTCATAAGGGCCCGGTACAGTATCTGGACAGTGACAAAAGTCCTGTATGCAGAGTTTGTATGATATTTAAATACCCCAAAATTAAGGACGTAGTTTAACCCCTAGTTCGCCGTTTCATCACGATGTCCTGGAGCACCGCGCCAAAACAGAAACTGCATCACTGTCCAAACTAATGCAGATTGCATTGGATTATGACAGCTAAGAAATGACACATGGTTCTTCCTGGCTTGAAGTTTGATAAAATTGAATAAAGACTGTATGACCGTAATCTCTGGCCCTGTTCCTGGAGAACAACCATCCTTTAGGTTTTTAACTCCGGCCCTAATTCAGCAGACCTGATTCAGGTAATTGCTAGAGTTGGACTGAAAACCTTAAGAGTGGTAGCTCTCCAGGAACAGCGCTGAGGAGCACTGATGTATGATACAGAATAATGGCTGGGGACATGTCTGCAAAGCACAGCAGGGGCTTTAAAGTTTGACATCAGCTTTATCTACATGAAAAGTAACTGGGTTTAACCTGCACAACCGAGAATAACATGCAGTACTGTGCAAACGTCTTCAGCGCCTCGCTTTTGTCTTTAGATGTTTATTGTCTGTTTTCCACCCTGAGGTAGCTGAGGATAAAAAAGTATATGTGATATTCCATGTTTGCATTTTAATAAGAACAGTTGATGCAGACAATAAAGCCTTGATATAGCCCCGATGTCAACACCATCATGGCCGTCCGCAGTTACTTAGAGGGACAGACGCAAGTGAGACAGTCAGTCTGAAGAGAAACGGTGGCAAGTTTTCCGCTCTCGTTGGAACAACCAAAAAGCCCATGATCTTATAAAACTATAACACAATAGGACAGTGTCTCCAATTTTTAGGCAAAGCGTATTCACACCAAATATTGGTTTGCTTTGATTTTTTACACTTTACAACTCCATATTGTACATTCCTCAGTTATTAGAAACTTTAAATTTCATGATTTTTGCAAGCATATCTGCCCTACAAAATATCTTTAAATGTGCCCCAGACTTTAGCGCAGTACTGCAGGTTTGGTGTGCGGAGGTGATCTGACCCTCTACGCCAGGCTCTCCTGAGTCTGATCATTAAACAAAACGGCTCGCATCACCTGAAGACACCAGGGTTCTAACTTAAAAACGATATATGGACAGTTTTTGCACATTTCGGATTAAAAAAAAAAAACTAACACAGCACTAAAACTCGTGAAATTATTAAGACTACTCATACATGAAAAATTTGAAGATAAACTACATCAATTCAATAAAAATTGCAGTTTAGTTTACTCAGTTTTTTTTTTTTTAATTTTTAAATTTTTTTACATGCCGTTTTTCTATTTTTTTTTTTAAATTTGGCATCTCCAATCCCACCCCAATCTGGAATGCCCAGTTGGGGAACTATGTACAAGGCTTGCTCGTATGCGACCCCTTGCTGCCAGCTCAGGAGAGTGTAGACAGTTCGCGGCTCTCCTCCGAAGCACGCGCCTGTCAGCCACCGCTTCTCATACACTCATTGGTTGAATCTTCGCAAGTTCAGAACGAGGGCGGAGGATACCCGGACATGACCAGGCTTAGAATCTTCCTGACGAGCGCCCGTCTGGCCAACAGGAGGCGCTTAAGCAACGAGCAAGGCAACTATTATATTCCCTTCCCGGCAGTCCCTTCCCAATTTGCAACCCTGTTGCGCAATAGCCAATTGTTGCACTACTCCGAAAAAGCTGCCGACCACTGCAGGCTGGTACGAAGCGGGGATTGAACCCACACTTCTGCTTCGCAACGCGATGCTTTACCGAGTGAGCTATCCAGCAGTTCTATTTTAAGAGTGCAATATTTACTATTGGAACCCATGCTAATTTTCATAAATTCGACCCTTAGACTGGCCGAGGGCAAACTGAACTTTTTTCACCTGAGCAAAAACACAGGTGAAGTTAATAACCGAAAGTTTTACACAGGTGATTTTCCAACTTCTTACAGACAAAGCGTTTACTCAAACTTTTAATACATCACTACAGTCTTAAAGAGATTGACTGTCAATGCAGGTATTTTCTACTTTAATTCCAACAGCTACTGGCAGCTTAAAAGGGCTGACTTTTTCTTTTTCAAAAAAAATTATCAAGGAAAAAATGAACCTTTTTCCAGAACCGAATTAGACAGCTTATCTCCTGGTGCTCCTGACATACTCATTTCTATGGCGCGGTGGGAAAAAAATGCAGGTCTATTGAAAAGGTAAGAATGCTGTAATTAGAGGAGCCCTGTGTATTTTAAAAGGCTGGGCTTGAGTTCTCCGTTCACCCTTCAACCATTTTTTCATGAAAATAAAAAAGCCGAGCTGAAGCAGGGGGGATAAATGAAAATGAGCAGCGCAGCAGAGCAGGGAGCAGAAGCCATTAAACCACAAACACGAGCATATAAAGCACAGCTGAGGCAGCCCACTGAGTGAGGGAGAGAGGGAGAGAGAGAGGGGAGAGAGAGAGGGAGAGAGGAAGGGAGGAAGGGAGAGAGGGGGGGGGAGGAAGGGAGAGAGGGGGAGGGAGGAAGAGAGAGGGAGGAAAGGTGAGAGAGGGAGGAGGAGAAAAGGAGGAAAGGAGGAAGGGAGGGAGGACAGTGGGGGAGAGAGAGAGAGAGAGAGAGAGAGAGAGAGAGAGACCTTGTTTCACGAATCAGGATTAGCTGGATAACTGGGCTCCATAAATCCCGGAGCTCTCATCACACTGGAGCGTGGGCTCATGTATGAAGAGCAGTAATCCTGCGCTGTGAAACACCCTCCGGACGCTCGTTATGGGATGAGATGACAGGATAGAGCAGGTGCAGCCCGGAGAGAGAAACAGAAGAGGACAGGCGAGAGGCGGTAAAGGCAACTGAGGCAGGTTTATTTTCCCTGTGGCTCCCTATTCACAATCAAAAAAGTGATTTTTTTTATCTTTAATCAATTTAACTAATTTTAGACTCCAATTTCGGATGTCTGTTACGAGTGAAAACAAGGAAGTGCAAGCCTTCAATTTAGTGTTACTGTGGTCAGCATCTGCGCTGGCACCACTCCGGGCTTCGCAATGTTAGCTAGGCCCAACCAATCAGCACACAAGAGCACCACGGCATCCAGAAACATTCCCATCACATTTTTAAATGCAAAACATGTCAGAGGGAGTGAATTTGTCAACAGTGTGCAAATACAGAGATTACATGTACGTTGTACATCCCACACACATCAGTACCAATATTTCACCTTTCCAATGGGAAAATCCAGCCCAGTGTGCCTTTAACACCGCAAGAGGGAAAAATGATGCGGACCAACAGAGAAAAGCAAGTGAATGAGAAATAAACGGAGAGTGATCGGGCGTGAGCTGGAGTCAGACACAAAAACAGACTGAGTCTGAGAAATAGAGTGATAGAGTAAAACATAAAGACTAAGAAAGCTAGAGTGTGAAAGACGGAGTGACAAAACGAGTGACAAAGAGTTGGAGCGAGAGACCAGGAAGTGATGAGTCAGATGGAGTTACAGACTAATAGAGTGAGAGATGGAGTGATATAATGAGTGAGAGATGAGCTTAACACTGAGAGACAGGGTGAGAGAGCGATAGTGGGGGGGGGGAGAGAGAGAGGGTGAGAGCGAGAGACACAGACAGTTGGACGGTGAAAGAGTGAGAGTGATAGAGGGAGAGCGAGAGGAGGAGAGAGCGAGAGATGGAAACAGCTCGACGATGACAGAGAGAGAGAGAGCGACAGACAGCCAGAGAGGCGAACAGCAGCATAAGACACAGTCACACTGACTTACATGGCTGTTGAGCAGCGAACTCCGTTGAGTGGATAAGCCTTCAGACTTTTGGAGTGTCTCAATCGCCATTTCAATCTGAGAGGCCACACACAGCAAACAGGGAAGGGGGCGGGGCATAAACAGTGCGGGAAGCAGCAGGAGGCAGCGACCCCGGTGCACAGAGACAGGGAGCAGATCAACACGCCGGCCCAACAGAATCATGGAGAGCATCAGTGAAGAAGCAAGATTAGCCCCGCACGCGAATCACACAGGCAACGAAAGCGTCTACCCCTCACAGCGACCCCCCTCAGCTTCAATCATTACAGTTCACACGCTACACTACATAACATGGTACAGAGGCTGGGTTCAAACATGCACTGATATGCCGTAATCGTGAGCTATTGCTAATAACAACGTGACGTTGTACTTCCATCTCTGTAAGAACAGCCAGACAGCGACATGCATAATAATATAACGGATTTACTAAATTATTGCAAAGGAATAACATACATGTGAATGTTTATTCGTTGGAACTGTGGAAAATACTGTTTGGGGTGGGGAAAAGATGTACAGAATGTGTTGAGAGTGATATAAGATAAGAGTTACATGCTTCCACCACCAGAGGGAAGCATGGACCTGATTTCCATTGGGTGTTTTCCAACAATCAGATTCACGATCCACCTGAAGGACACCTGCCTTTACAGAACCATCAAAGTGACATTTTACATAAGATGCTATGGCCAGTACACTATGCCGTGTCACTGATAAGGCGCTAAATCTGGTTTTAAAAATTAGCAGGTTTAACTCCAATGTGAGACAGTGCTGTAAGCTACCATGAAGACAACACACAGTAAATGCCAGTCAGTCGCCTTTGTTAAAGGAAGAGACAGCACCCCGGCAAAGTATATTTCAGCGGAAAGTAGAATTCTTGAGGTGTCTAAAACGCATAGTTCTATAAATTTTAATTTGGTAATGATCCAGTGCGATGCATTTTTAAACTGAAAAGTCTTCAAATCGGCATCAATACCAGGGGGCACACATTTTTACTTGGGGAATCTAAGGCTGCGTTCGGAATGCACACTTGTCCACTCGCTCACTCACTCACTCTCTATATTGTTTTCAATGTAGAACATTCACTACACAGTGCCCTATATAGTTGGTGAGTGTGCATTTCGCACGTATTATCCAATCAAACGCCAGTGCCGCGGTGCTTGTGCGTCAGTTATTCTCTTACATGACGTCAGTTGTTCTCTTTCCTTTCATCCGGGCCATAGAGTAGTTCAAAGGGCCTTCAGTAAGCTCTCCCTTCACGGCTTGGCTGCCCGCAAGCCGTTTTTAATTAAGCTAGCCTGATTAACAATCAAACAATTTATCGACTGAGAGACCAAGACCAATACATGACCTATTATTAGAAATGGTAATGAAAGATGAATTCCCATTGCCTACATTTATATAATTGATTTGGCATTGTAAATCCAAAACTTTCGCTGACTTCGCAGCATTCATTTTCGCCGTCCTTGGGATTGTCACACAGCTGTGCAACCTTACAGCACGCTTTTGCCGTGACAACATTCAAAATAAAGAACGGATTCCCGCAGTCACGCAAACTAATTTCCGCAAATCTGTGCCACTGGACCAGCGCTGAAATTATAAAAGCATATCGATATTTTATGTTGTCATTTATGCGCAGAAGACGCCTCATAATTTTGTGGTGCAATGCATAACAATGCTATCAAAAGTAAATTAGAAGGTCGTCCGTTTTTACCAATTAGTCTGAGCGACTGTGGCTAATCAGGAGATGTAAACTGCGAAAGGTTAAGGTTATTAAGCATTTTTAAAGGAGAGGTTTCCGAAGATCAAATTCAAAATCAGAAGATTCCCCAAGTAAAAATGTCTGCCCCCTGGTATTGAAGCCAATTTGAAGACTCGCTGGTTTAAAAATTCATCGCACTGGATCATTACCAAATTAAAATTTATAAAACTATGCATTTTAGACACTTCAAGTATTGTACTTTCCGCTGAAATATACTTTGCCAAGGTGCTGTCTCCTCCTTTAAGGGCATCTACTCAAAACATGTACAACGTAGGCCTACATACCCCTAGATTTTGTCTTCAGACTGCATATTGAAAAGGCCAGTCATAAAAATTGTAATGAAACCATGAGCTGGGATTCAAGATGAATCATAACACGAGGAGGGAACAGCTCTGAGCCAGGCAGCGAATCAGAGAGAGGGGGCGGGGCCCCGGACTCACAGTGGCCGGCGAGGCTCGCGTGGCCTGAGCAGCTGGGTGGGGGGAGGAGCTGTCCATCGAGCCGCTCTCGCCCACGATGTAGGTCCCCGAACTGCTGATGATCTGACCGCCCGTCAGCTCCATAGCCACACCCCCGTCCCCACCCCCTCCGGCCCCCGCCATCCCATGGGACATCACCACCGTGGTCACCTGCGACGAGCCCCCCTGGGTGTCGAAGTACGAGCCCCCGCTGTTCTGGCTGTACAGCTGAGGCTCTGTGTACGAGTAAGTCCGTCTGCCAAAGACCGGGAAACTTATTTTCACTTCACAACTACAGCTCTAAAAAACCTATTTTTCCACTGCAAATGAGATTGTGGAAACAACCCTTCTAGTCTTGTAATGAGACTTTAATCCCATCTCTATACAAGCCTTATTTTCTCTGATAGAAAATTAAGTTTCTTTATTTTAAATCACCATTTGCTTAACAAATTTAATCTTAATTCAATCCAACAGTCTCACCTTGCTGGCAATAATTTTTTAAGCTAAGCAAAAAAATAAGATTTTGGACCCTATTCCGACGACCTAAATGCAGTCGGCAAACGCAAGTGCAAAGGGTATTGCAGTTCAAAACTGGACATGTCTAACTCCATTCGGGTAATTTAGTGACAAGAGGTAATTGCGCAACTGTGGCATTGCTGTCAAAAGGGTAAGATTAAGACAAATTAATTACCTGTGGGTGTGGTGGGGGCTAGGCTCAATTAAAACCAATCAGATTAGCTGCTGTCATTCCCTTCAAAACCAGTGCATTAATGCCATAGCAAACTG